CAAAGCATCTGTTTATTGTTTATGTGCTCATTTATGTTATAATCTTATATTTTCCTTTCTTTGGTCGAATTCTCATGTAATTCTAATGTTCAAATTCTTGCTTATGTTAGAATGTATATATGGTGTTCGATTAAATGCCACAAACAAATACATTAACAATGTCAATTACAATATTTGATTTTGTTATATTTATGTTGCTTTGTCCTGTTTGCAGAAACGTTTTACTGTTTCTAATAATCAAAATTATAGCACAAATACATGACAAATTTGCCCCTGCCCTTAATTCGAATAAAAAACCATATATGCTTTGTTGTCGAATTGCAGGTTAAAGTATATTTAGTATAAGAGTTCTAAATAAGAATCAGAGTTCTAAATCGGAAATAAGCCCAATTATATGTTGAAGTGTATTTAGGATTCTCATGGAACTGATAAGCATGGTAGAAAAGTAATAATTTTCATCAATTAAAATTTCCTTTTTATGCTATCCGGATAATTGATTTATATGAAATATTATGCCACTTAGGAAATGCAAATAATTAACAAACAAGGACAAATTTGTATAAAGGTTAGGACCACATGCCTATAATGATATCTCTGTAATATAAAGTACAATTTTGATTTAAGGGGCATTTATGTCATGATTTACAGAAATGCAATTTTTTTTTTCTGTTTTTTGTTATATTTTGTCTCCTTTGGTTTTACTTTAACGACTTAGACATAAACATGAGATGAACCAATTTGTTTTAATTGGTGATTGGTCAACTAATCAACATTACTATAAATTTATACATGTGCTAAAATTTTTGAATTTTTTAGTCAAACATATATTGGTTGTAGGCATCCCCAATGAATCTATTTGAAAGATTCATTGGAACAGTAAAAAACACTAACTCGAATATAAAAATATAAAATAGTATGTTCAAATGTCTAAAATACACCTCAATATATCAATCGTGTTCACATTTTTTTGTCATTATTGAAGGGTATAATAGTAATATATAGGTTGAAACTGTGGTAGAAAGGGAAATGTTACATTTTATATGAGCTGGAAAAACAATTTTACAGAAATACAATTTTTTTTTTCTGTTTTTACATGAAATACAATATTTTTTACTGTGATTAGTTGACCAATCACCAAGTAAAAGAAAATTGGTTCATCTCATGTTTATGTCTAAGTCATTCTGTAATATAAAGTAAAACAAATTGGTTCATCTCATGTTTCTTCATCAACCCATCAGACAAACTTTTTTAGAATTTGTGTAAAACATGACAAAAAAGCCACTGTACTGCAAACCTGTACATTTTCAGAATTTATTTTGTTTATATTTCAGATTCATTGAGGGATTACACAAAGAAAGCTAAAAGTACCATCAAACTCAATATGAATAGAAATATAATTTTTTATTTTTGTTTTTTGAGTTCGGGGGCATTTTTGTCATGTTTTATAGAAATACATTTTTTTTTCTGTTTTTTGTTATATTTTCTCTGCTTCGATATTACTTGATTGTATTTTGTATTACTTGATTGCTTGGTCCTATTTTGAATCAAGGGGCATTTCTGTCACGTTTTACTAGAATTACATTTTAGTCATTGATATGAACCGATTTACACCAAAAACATATTAAATAATGGGAAATGAGATATGATGTACGCTTAAACAAGACCATTTTTAGTTGTTAATATTACAAAATACCAGATTTTCATTTTTGCATTACCCTACTACTATTTACTAACCGTTACCTTTAAATTAATAGTACTATATTCGTGCACAAGTTCATGGATTCCACCAAGATTAGCATGATTAGTGACTTGGCTCTCTCGCAAGATGACTATACCATTAAGGTCTGAATTATCTGTCTATGGAAACAAACTTTCTGGAATAACCCTCAACAAATCCCTTGGAAAAAGGACTGATACCAAAATGGAGGATTTAGAGTGGGATTCATTTTTATACCTATATTTATTATTTTTATGAGAATATGTTTTTTATTTTTCTTAATTTCTACAGAGGACGATAACTTTTTGTTACTTTATGGGGACGGTAGTCTGACGAAATTGTTGCATATGTTTCTAAGCACCCGAGCAATTTTGTATTGCTTATTCAACTGGCTAAGATGAATCTTATCAGAGGTACATATTTAGTAAATTATTAATTTGTAATATTTTTATTATTAACATAATTAAAATATGAAATTATACCGATGCAACAAATTATTCAATGTTCATTTTAGAACGTCCATACGTCAATAACACTTACTTAGTTACAAAACTTTTTTATTGAAGACAACATTGAAGAAATAACCTCTTTAAAAAAAAGGTTATAATGGAAATTGACTTGATTTGAGATTATAAGTTTTTTTCATTATTATTTCTCTTTATTTAGTAGTT